AAACCTCGTTATAGTGAGCTTTTTGGATTAAGGGCGACAGTGCTTGAAAACGATATCGAACGGTTAATCAACATACGATATATGTGTGGTGCTAAGTATATCATCATTATATCATTGTCATTGTTTTATTCGCAGTTTTTTCTATTATACTCTATTTACCGTAGTTTATTATAACTGATGCACTATTGTTAAATCAAAATGTCATATGTTCATATTTTTTAACTAAAATTTCTACCAAACACTTTATCTTAAAAAGCTGAAAATCTGTTATAAATCGTGCCAAAAATAATTATACTTTTAATTCATTTAACCCATTTAAAAATGAAAAAATTCAATGGCCTATGTCCTAGTGTCATTATATTTTTTCAGTTACGAAAGATTTTATAAGCGTACAACTTATTACGAAAAATGTGTTGAAATTCAAAAAAAAGGTTTTAACAACGTATCTGTTTTTGATACAAAAATTTACTAGAAAACTTCTTCTAGAGTGCCTGTCCGTTCCGAACGTTGGCGATCATTCTGGCTATTATGATTTTGGTGGTTGCAATACGAAATAGCTGTGTTGAGGTCTTTCTATACCATGCTCTCAGGTTAGCAAGCCAGGATATTGTTCTTCGTCCTGGGGCTCTTGTTCCTTCAATTTTACCCTGCAAAATGCATTGGAGTAGCTCGTATCTGCCTTGATTTCTCATTATATGTCCCAAGTACTCCAGCTTACGATGAATTACGGCTCTTCACGATGTTGACCAAATCCGCGGTTGTATTCATCCTCCGCAGTACTTCTTCATTGGTGACTTTGTCTGTCCATGGTATCTTCAGGATTCTGCTGTATAACTATAGCTCAAAAGCCTGAAGTTTTGATAGAGTTTCCGCCTTCAATGTCCACGTTTCTACTCCATACAGAAGCACTGAGTACACGTAACATTTAAGGAGCCTTATTTTTGTTTTCAGGGTGAGGTCATGGCTCTTGAAAACAGAGCTCATAGTCAAGAATGCACTTTTGGCCTTTCCGATGCGACATTTAATCTCTTGGGTATTGTTCCACGACTCATTGATTATAGTTACCAAGTAATTGTATTGTGAGACACGTTCAATTCTCATTTGGTTCACATACATATTTGCTCCAGTTATGTTTTCCTTGCTGATGATCATTAGCTTGGTTTTGCTGGTGTTTAAATCCAGTCCATATGTTCTACTTGTTTCCGTTATTCTGTTCATTAAGTTTTGCAGGCCTTCTATGGTATTGGAAAACACTATTGTATTATCTGCATACCGCAGGTTATTAAGTTTGACTCAATTTATTGAGATGCCATCATCAATATCTATTAGGGCCTCTTCAAAGATGTGCTCCGAGTACAGATTGAATATTAGTGGTGAAATTATGCACCCCTGTCTCAGTCCCCTTAAGATTTTGACCTGATCTGTATATTCTCCATCTATTCGGAGTACCGCTGATTGATTCAAATACAGATTAGCTATAATTTTTAAGTCTCTTCCATCAATCCCTGTAGTCTACAGTACTTCCATCATTTGTTCATGCCTGACTCTATCGAAAGCCTTCTTACATGCCTAACCAGGCATGCAAAAACATTACAGATGATATTCTGAAACAATACCTGCACGCTAAATAAAGCTTCCCTTGTACCAACGGCGTTCACAAATCCAAACTGATTCGGCGCAATTTGTTCCTCGCATTTCCGTTAAATTCTTTTGTGGATGACTTTTTCAGCAGATGGTTCATTGTCCTATAATCTTCACAAACTTTTGCTCCTGTTTTTTTGGGCAATAGTACGAACTCCGATTTGAGCCACTCTACTTGTATTTTTCCTGCCTTGTATATTTCATTAAATATTTGAGTTATTATTTTTATTTGTTCTGCATCTAATAGCTTCAGCAGTTCTGCAGGAATTTCATCAAGTCCCTAAAAAACTTAAGCACGTTCTTATAATCATTAACAGACAATCGTAATGGCAAATTTAGCAAATGTAGTTTAGATTATGCATGCTGGGTAATGTATCATCATATAACATTCCTTTTACCTAAAAAGCATGTTATTTTGTTTGGTATTTGTAGCGGAAGATGCAAATTGGAAATGAAAAGTTCTAGTTGCGAGAATAGCGAATGTTCTGCTGTCATGGAAGCTACACCGGTGGAACCTGAAATACAGTTCGACATCAGAATAACTTTGACAGATCATACCGGCTCTCTGAAAAATTGCAGATTCGGCGGTAGTGTCGCAGAGAAAGCCTTAGGATGTACGGTCAGTGGTTTTATAATATTTAATTTAGTATATTACGATGAGACTACATATTTTAATTTTCTTCTGGTTAATTTGTAAGTTTAGTTAGAATAGCTGGGAAAAACTCAAAAAACTTGGAGATAGGAAAGTAACGAATAATAACATATCAAAAAAGAAAACCCCATGGTTTAGAGAGGGTGTGAGGACAAAATGTGTAGAAAAAAAGAAAGTCATTTTACAATACAAAACACTACACAACAAGCATACAACCACTATAAACGAATATTTTAGTTAGACATATAAAAAAAAAGAATACTGGCAGAGCTTCTCAAAACAGATGAAACACGACTTCTACGGATCACAAAAGGAAATATGAAGAATGTTCAGAGGACAAAGAAAAGAGATGAAAGAACCAATAAAAACGAAACACATTCAGAAGGAAACATGGGCAGACTACTTTCGATCCCTATTTGCTAAAGCTGACGATAATTAACCACCAACACCAGAGGTGGCGACAAACGAAGAAATAAACATTGAGGAGAAAGTGGTAAAGGAAGCATTAAGGAAATTAAAAAATAGCAAATCACCAGGAGAGGACAGAATACCGAACGAAAAGTACGGAGGACGAGATCTTACCAAATAACTATTCAAACTAATCCAAAAATAGAACAAAACATAATTCCCCAAGAATAGAGATCAAGCATCCTAATAACTCTCTTCAAAAAGGGAGACAAATCGAACTCGCAAAATTACAGAGGAATTAATTTATTAAACACAACACTAAAATTAACAACCAAAGTAATAACAAATAAATTGAATAAAATTGTAACAGTAGCAGAGTCGGTAAGATCATGTACCGACGCTATATTTATAATAAGGCAAGTAAAAGAGATATCATTAGAACACAATAAACCCGCATATCTATGTTTTGTGGACCACTTATTGTACGAAAGAGAGATATCTTTAGGAATTATCAAAACAATAGAAAATATTTACCAAAACAACACAATAAAAGTAGAAGTAGAGGAAGAACTAACTGACCCTATTGAAGCTGACACTGGGATAAGACAGGGAGATTCCCTGAGTCCTTTATGGTTCAACCTGATTATGGATGAAATAAAAAAAAGTAAGAACTAAAAAAGGATACCAAAAAGGAGAAAAACAACTTAAAATAATCTGCTATGCAGACGACGCAATACTACTCTCTTAAATGAAGATGATTTACAACGTATGCTGCACCAATTTAATATAACTGCCAGAAAATCATGTTAATTTCCCCAAAAAAGACAAAATGCATGGTTACAACAGTAAATTTATTAAGATGTAAATTGAAGCTAGACAGACGGTCAGATAATAAAACATGTGATGGAGTTTAAATATCTAGGCATCACATTATTAAACAGCCATCAGACCAATAATGATATACGCGGCAGAAACACGACCTGGCATAACAAAAAGGATTTTAGAAGCAGCAGAGATGAAAACACTTAGAAAAATATAAACACTATGGGACACAGCTATAAGTACAGATCATCGAGCAAAAAGACAAAAGAGGGAATCTAATCGTTATGAAAAGGAGACCAAAAAAGTGGCCTCTGATGGAGGACATATCCGGAAATGCGAATGCGCCAAATTTAAATTTTCCGACACTTATTAACAGTAGCAATAAAATAGTTTTCAGAATGTGTCTTAGACGAGAAACTTTAAATAAATATTAACGATAACACTCTAAACGATACACACATTGTTAAAAAACTTCAAGATAAATAAGCTTTCATATGAGTTGGGACAAACAATAACATAACCCAACTAAATTTGATTTCTTTCATTAAACAAGGAAAGATTCTCTTTCCTTGTTTAATGTGGCCTCTCAAGAAGGCATTTCCTGTCTAACGATATTTTTGCCTCCACTACCTTTACATTCCCTCTTTTGTCTTTTTACTCCATGGTACAGATATACGATGTAGATGCGAGGTGGAGAACATCAAGGACTGAGTAAGAAATAGAAGAGTAGAATGGAACGATTATATAAGCCGAATGATATCAAATAGAGTAGTAAAGACGGCAAGAGACGGTTCCCCAATAGTAAGAGGATCAGTAGGAAGACCACGTAAACGATGGAACGATAACTTACTGGAGGCACATACATTACTGAAGGAAAAACAGTCAGGGTCGTGTCTACATAAAAAGAAGAAATTAGAGTAGCTTAGTTTAAAGGGAGTATCCGATTTCTTACATCATTATTGTTACGACCGCAGACCAGAGACGGGGTCGTAGATGATATATGATAACCAAAAGGTGTCAGTGATTCTTACTACAAAATATGTTTAATATGTTTGTTTCAGGCTCGAGAGTTTTCCAACATGTCTGATGATGAGAAACGTATTTTGAAATGGAAATATTTGTTAGAAAGATGTGCCATACACATTGCTGTGGTGTATATTGGAAGAGGATTTCCCGTAATCACTGTTCTGAATCTCCGCTTGGCCAATCCTTTAGAAGTAAGCCAAAAATTAGCTATATACTAAGTTTATCGTATATTTAAGTGAAAAATGTTCAATGTTCTGATAACATATTTGGTTAAAATATTCAAAAATAAAATTTAAATCGTTTTACGAGTTTTTATTTAGTATTTTGACATTTTTAAATTTCACATTTCGTCTGCAACATGCAAACAATTGTTTACTATTAATTTGTGTTTGTGATCACTTGACATTTCTTTTAGAAAGGAAAAACAATTTAAAGAAATGAAAGTCTCATGAAAATCGATTATTTTTAATAAATATAAGGATACTAAATACATAAAATCTTGTTAAAATATCACCTCAATATATAATATCACTAAACTAAATTACAAACAAGTAACAATAAGAACAACAAAAGTTGATAAATATTTATAAACAAGTTTTACAACAGCGTTAACAGCTATAATGAGCAGAATATTCATTGAATCGATTTGCGATGCTGCTTTTCGAATATATGTGAAGTTCTAGATTTTTCTAAATGCCGTAAAAATTATTTTGTACGCTGAAAGAAAACCACATCTCGGTGATAGTGATAACGTCGAGATGCTTCAATGTTATATAATTATTTATGTTCTTATTGCGCACTTTTGTATATTCTTTGTATATACTAAAATTATTAAATATATAAAATAATTTGTTTTATCAATACTTTTAACCTAGTGTATACGATTCAGTCGATTTTTTTTAAATTGGTAACTTTTATATAAAAACTCGACATTAAAACTTCTGAAAATAATAACTATTCAAAGTTCAGAAGATAATATTATTTTTAATTATATCTGAAAGCATTGTTGAATTTGTAATTATACACTAAAAACAATTCACAAATGTATTAATAGCATGTCCAAAGTATAGAAGCGGTAATATGATACACCACTCAATTAATTTTTCACCATTGAACTCTAGCTTCAATTTTTGCTTGAGCATAAATAAACAGCAATAATGTCGAGTTTAAAAACTAATTGAACAGCAACATTACTGATTTTGATGTTCAGTCTGACAGAGAAATAATAGTGGAAATTTTTATAAACGGCAAATTTGGCTATAGGCAGAAAAGGTAAGAAGCCTTGAGAAAATAAAAAAGAGTCCTGATATGCACACGGCACGTTTAATAAATCGCGATAAGATTAAAATTGTTAAGGATTTATAAGTAACGTTTAAAAAATTAGTGAGTTGGATAGAGAACTGAACTAGTGAACTGGTATATTGGAAGGGCTATTATTTTGGAATATTCGAGATATATATTAACAATTTTAACTTTACTGTTGGATACAGTTGTAATATAAACCATTATATCAGAAGTCATTATAATATTATAATATAAACAAAGTAAACAACCGTTAACAAGTAAATATCTGATAATATGTCAACTTTTTTGCCGTGTAATTTGAAAATAAATGTTAATGTAACAAATAAAAGACACAAGCTAGATTTGATAAGAAATAGATATAGATAAACTGGTTTTTAAAATGGTTAAAATATAGCTAAAAATAATAGAAGAAACCTACAGAAAAAAAAACTTAAAAAATTTTACATTAGCATGATGAAATTATAAGAAAAAAAACAAGGGGAACATCAAATTTTAATAGGAACACACACACACATTTACAAAATAACACTCAACATTCACATAGGCAACCCTCTGATTAATGATGAAGACTTGCAGCTAAAATAGCTAAATAATGAAGAATAGACAACATATTTGATGTATATAAAGCTTTACAAATAAGATACGGATACAGAACATCAAGATAAAAAATATTAACTGCATTTTTATTAATTATTCAATTATAATGCTACATGTTAATACTTTACAAACAAAAAACTAACATAAACTTATAAATAATTGACAATATATTTAACTGAAATCAATCAGTTATTTGTGTTTATTGCTTTAAGATATATTAAAATATTATTGTCATAAACCAAGGAGTGAATCAATAATAATTATAGATGGAAATATGAGGAGCTTTTGACAGTGCACAACTAAAAAGATTATAGAGAATGCTGAAGAAAACCTATTATCTAATTAATAAATGCAATTAACAAATTATTTCACAACGGAATATCCAGAACAGAAACCAAAAAGTAAATAGAAATAGGAAAATATATATTATATATATTTTCTATGTATTTGTCTATATATATATATATATATATATATTATATATATATATATATATATATATATATATATATATATATATATATATATATATATATATATTATATGTAGACAAAACTATAATAACAAAGACACAAACACAAATAACAAAACAAAAAACAAAAATAAGTGCAAAAATGATAAGATGTCAACAAAAATATTAAGAATAAGAAAAACCTACAGGACAAAAACCATGAATGAGAAAAACAAAAAACAGCAGGAATTGGCGCAAAAACTATAACAAACTCAAAATAAAAAGAATAAATATAAACATAATAATAACAAATAGCCAACAATAAATGAAGGCGAAAAAACTGCGCACAAACAACAAGAACAAACGTAAAAATAACAAAATCAGCATAAGTATATCAAGAACGAAGAAGATTATATAAATCTCAAGAATAAGCGCAAAATAACAAGAAAATTAAATAAATCACAAAAACAATAAGACCCAACACGAAAAAATAAAGACAAGGACATAAATACCAATTACAAGTAAGAATTATTACTTGTAAGTAAAATTCGCATAATTAATTGTTAAAAAAGTAGAATGGAGACTCAACAAAATATCAATACTTACATTGGAATCATTCGAGACACGTGGAACATTCGAAACAAAGAAGGAACAACAATTGCCATTTGTAACATCTACGTTATAGATTTACCATATGGATAAAAATACGTATACCTGACAAACAGAACAACGTCAGGAAGGGTAGACAAAATGAAGTGTGAAAGTTTGATATAACACCCAAAGATGGGAGAGAATACATAAAAATCAACGAGAAGAATAAATAAAGCGCAAAAACAAGGACAAAAATAACAAGGACAATAACAAGTAAGACAAGCAAAATGCGTTTGATTAACAGTTAATGGCGAACAATGCCAGTATCATTCTTGGAGAGAATTCTGAATATGGAACATAAGAGAAAATACAGAAGAAATAAAAATCGTTGCCTTATATAATTAATTTGAGGCATATATGTCATATATTCACCATAAAACGGTCTAAACGGTATGACAGAAAAATCACCAGTAAAACCAGAAAAGACGTAATATGAACGTTGAAAATATGTCCAAAACATGGTATAGAAGAAACCTAAAAACAACAAGAACAATAGGGAAAGCCTAAGAACAATAACAGCAAGTACAAACTAACAATATCGGGCAAAAATATATTCCGACTAAGAAAGACATACAAAAAATAAAGACAACAAGAACAAAAACAACAAGAGCCACAGGAAAAGTACAAACAGAATAGCGTTGGTCTAAAGCAAAAAATTCCTTTTTTTTCTAAAGAATTATGAATAGGTAAATTTAGAGGAAGTGAAATAGAAACCATAATTATTGCCTTACGATATCAATTTGCAGCATCTACGTGATCCGTTCCTTCGTCTTCTCTATTTTGATATGTGCAGAAGATTGGAAGCATTTGAGATGTGGTTATATCGAAGAATACTTAAGATCCTGTGAACTGATCGAGTTACAAATGGGAAGGTCTTCAGAAGAATATAAAGAAGAACTAAGAGGTACTGACCTCCATCAAATCTCAAAAGCTTCAGTACTTCGGATATATTATGAGAAAAGAATCCAGTTATGCACTCCTACAAGCCATCCTAGAGGGAAAATATTTGGAAAGCGGGGTCCAGAAAGAAAAACATCTTGGTTAAAGAACCTCAGAACCGGGTTTAACACAACATATGTACAACATTCATCACGGAAAGGCACGCCAAGAAGAAGACGTGATAGAAAAAACACATAGACACGACGAAAACCCATTTGGTATTCACGATATGAAAACAGAAAAAGACCATACAAAACGTATTGTGAAAGTTAAACATCACAAGTCATAACGCTCGAAAGATTAAAGGGAATATAAAGATATTATGAATAAAATTTTTTTAGGAATTTATAAATAATGTACATAACTATCCAAAAACTAAATAGACCATCAATGACTTTTCACTTTATTTCGAATGAAAATGATTAAACAATAAGTATAGTTCTTCTCATTGCCTTTTTTTCAGTGCTCTATTTCTTTCTAGTACGTGTACACGAAAGCGACAAAAAAAAATGTATGTTGATAATTATTTCTCAGAAAATCAACAGAATTTATCATTTACATACTCATTTATTTAGAATGCATATTTATATACAGATATTTAATTAGTTGGCATTTTTAATACGCCCATCAATATGTCAAATGTGCAGGGCTACATAAAATGTGTTTTTTCGTCATAACCAGAAAATATTTGTTTGTATTTGTTTGTTTACTTGTTGTTATTAAGGTTGTTACCTTAATCTTAAAATATGTTAAGGTATTGTGAAAAGAGAACAACAATTAAATATAACAAACATTATATATATATATATATATATATATATATATATATATATATATATATATATATTTATTTATTATCCATTTAATATTTATTGAACCTAAACCCCCAAGAAAAATACTTATTTATACCAGTAACCGGTCGTTAAGGGCTTTTATATATCTTAAGCGTGGTTAATTTTCTCTTTGTAAGGTAGAAAGTTAAACTATAAAACAGTAAGTTTTGTTTTTTAATCGAAATTCAAATAAAATACCACGTTAATTTTATAATATTTGCACATTTGACTAATACAATCTTAGCAACTGTCAAATATATCAAATTACATGCATTAATTCTGGTCACGTTCAAAAGACAACAATCCGTCGCAACTGAAATAAGGCTCTCAGAAGAAGCATGCATACTAAATTCAAATATAAGTTTATATAATAAACGTAACAGAAGTTCCTTTATCTCATTAAATAAAACTAAATTACATAGAAAAATATATTCAAATTACAGATAATCCCTTAATTATTAATAAAAAATCTTCAAAAGTACCATTGCCAATAAATTCAGTGACAAATTATTAGTTTGAAACCAGCTACTAACACAGAGGTAACAATCACTGTATTTACAATAAGTAACGTAGTTTAATATCAAATAAATAACAACATAATAATTCTTTACTATAATAGAAAATAGGTCAAATTGAAAGACGTGCAACGGATTTAAAGTAAAGGATTTGATACATTACTTTTTGTACACAGTGTATAATAAAATTTGCAATAAACCTGTACGAAAGGTACCTCTATTTTAAAAATTGAACTATTTGCAAGAACTTTTGAGCAAATAAATTGAAGTTCTAGTAGTGTCTAAAGTTAAAATAAAAAAGTAATTAATTGTAAAATTCAATATGAGCTAGATTCCTTTGACATCTATGTCATAAGCTGAGGGGAGCTGGAACAAAAGAGAAATGTATATTAACGATTATTTTAATATTTATTTCAACTTTGTGAACGCAAACATCAGAAAGGACTTACAAACTGTTGGAAAGAGTAAAACAACTAACTACCGAAAAGCGTCTCTTCTTACTTCTTGCATAATGTTGAAAACTAGTAACGTGTTTACAATGCTTTTAACACTTGTTTGAAGAAGTGAAGATTTTACAATATCTTGAGCATTTTAAATACTCTTTAACCCTTGAAGCCGCCATGGTAAATACACGCGATGTGCCACCTTTTTCGGTATTGTTAAGCGGCGGTGGTCTTAGAAATATTACCAGCTGTAACAAATCGTTGTCGCTTACGTTGCAGTGGTAGAATTTTTCGACCAATGTAACAGCCATCTACTGAAGACTAGGCAAACACATTGGCATGCTTAAATCCAGATTTTAACGCACTCTGTAGTCACAAACTTTATTTTATTATCAGTGCATCGTGTACTGAAGCTTGTCGACAGTTTTTTATTAATAAGTTACTAAAAACTGAAGTTTTTACAAAATAATTGTGTTCAAGACGTGGGTTGAGGTTGCTAGGTAAGTAATAATTAACCTAATTGATAATATTTGTATGGCAATTGAAAATCCATAAGGTTTTCTCGTGGTACATATTTGTACCACCGCTTCAGTGGCGGATTTACGGGGAGGAAAAAAGGAGAAATTTCCCTCCCTAACAAGGTCCAAAATTAATGATAAAAATTGTTGAAACATAAAAATTTAATAGCTGACAAGAAGCTTAAACCACAGACAGACAAATTCAACCCAATAAACACTAGTTAGGAAAATTAAGGGAACTTAATGCGTATAAGTTATTATTTATGTCTTTTATGTAGTTTGGGTTTATCTTTTTGATGTCTTGGTTGGTGTTTCATTGGAAGTTCCCCCCCTCTCCCAAGGAAAATGTCTAGATCTGCCACTGCACCGCTCCGCATATATTTAACAAAATTAATTTTTATCTAGGAAAATGTCAAGATTGAAAAAAGACAATCTACCTTTTACCCTAATTGGCATGACGATAGACGAATTACAAGCGGAACTGGATAATATAGATGAAGATCTAAAGGCAATACCATCTGATTCCGAATCGATAGTGGACGATTCTGAAAATGGAGATCACGAAGAGGTTGAAACTCCAACGGCAGATGTCGAGTAAATTTATAACAGTTCAGATGAAGAATCTGAGTCTGGCTTGCCACTAGAGGAGATAACAGATATTACTAGAGCTCCTAGACCGGTAAATAATGCATCTGCTTATACACCTCCAACATGGTCAACTAATCATAGACCTATCGCTCCTGAAAACTTTAAACATTCTTCTGAAGTACCAGACTTTATTCAAGAGCTTGATAATCCAACCCCACATAATTTGTTTCAGTTGTTCATAAATGATGATTTTATTGAACATTTGGTATTCTAAACTAATTTATATGCAGAGCAAATAAAAACAACTCACGGTAAAAACTTTTTGTCGACTGAATTTAAAGAAATAAAAAACATTCTTTATGTTAACCATGATGATGATGACAACCAAGTTATAAAGACTACTGGTCCAGTGCACCTGACTTTAAAGATGCGTACATATCCAGTTTGATGAGTTTCAAGCGATTTAGTTCGTTACTTGGCCATTTACATGTAAATGATAATTCTGCTATGCCTGTTCGTGGTTCACCGAATTTTGATAAGCTGTATAAATTGCGCCCAATGATTTATTACGAAATAAATTCGAGAATTTTTTGTATCCATCTCAACAAGTAGCCGTCGACGAATCCATGATAAAGCTCAAAGGCCGGAGTGCACTGAAGCAGTATATGCCAAACAAACCCATAAAACGAGGCTATAAGGCGTGGATGCTGGCAGATAAATCAGGCTATTGTCTAAAATTTGATCTATATACAGGGAAGGCGGATTCAGCAGAAAGAAATCTAGGGGCACGGGTGGTCAATTATCTGACAGCTTATATTCGTAGCAAGCATCATGTTCTATATTTTTATAATTTTTTTAACAGTGTATCTTTGATGGAGGAATTGAAGAGACACAACATCGGAAGATGTTAGTGAAGTGAGTCGAAAAGAAAAAAATGGCGACAGACATCTAATACCATATCCTCATGCTGTAACTGATTACAATCAGAATATGAATTTTGTAGATAAATTTGACCAGATATTATCAAGTGACAAAATTGATCGTCGCAGTAAAAAATGGTGGCATCGAATATTTTTTTATTTATTATTATTTATGCTGCAGTTATAAATACATACTGCCTTTACCCGTTGATGAACTTGCCTAAAATAACATCAAAAGATTTTTGCTGTGCTGTTATTAATGGATTATTAGCAGACCAAATTGTTTCTAAAAAGAGGCTATCCAATGGAATGCCAGTAGATACAATACAAATCAAAAAAGCAAAGCCATTTGTTCCCATTTAGGTGCGACTACATTCTTCAGAACATCAGTCACGGCAAAGTTCAAGAAGAAGATGTGCTTTGTGCAACACAAAAGACAAACAAGTTAGAAGTGAATGGATTTGTGCTGCGTGTAAAGTTCCATTATGTTTATCTAAACAAATCATGCTTTCAGAAATACCACAATAAACTGTAAGTTGGCTTTTTTTATATTATATTAGTTTTATGTCTGCAAACTTGTACGAACTGGTACGGTGGTACAAAATCTGTACCACCCCATAACTAAAACAATAAAAACTTAGTTACAAAAAAAAAACATCGGATTGTGTATCAGTAGTAGATAATTAACACCTTCATGTGTTTTTCTTTATCAATTTGTGAATAAAAGTATTGTTGCTCCACTAGAGCATTTTTGGCCTGAATACTTTTGCTCCTTAAAGATTTAAACTATTTGGATGTAATTTTTGCTTCTTCGATACTTACCGATGTTTTTCAAGGTTTGTCGATTTGCTGGTTGTTTACCGATGTTTTTCTACGTTTTACAAAGTTTTTACTTTTTTTTATGCTTTTCAAGACCTGTGACCATTTTCAAACACTTTCGATACCGATATTTTCCAATGTTGCTTCGAAATTTTCGAGAAAGAAGCATTTAAACTTTTCCACATTCTTTAATACTTTCTGTCTTTCTGTTCTGCTGTCGATATTTTCATACTGTTCTATACTTTGCAACGCGTTTTCAACCTTCTTCAAACCTTTTAAAATTATTCGACGTTTTCTATGCTGTCTACGTTTTCTTGGGAAGCGATACGTGACCTTGTACCCATGGGTTGTGATTGGCGTTCAAGGCTAAAATATTAAATGGCCTGTCTAAGTATACTCGGCTCCCTGATCCCAGTCCCAACTACATGGTAAATTTAGTAATTATTTTTTGCTGCGTTACACAGAATTATATTTTACATAAAAGCTGACCAAAACTATTTTCATTACTGTTAATGAGTTTTCTATAATATGTTATCACTAAACGGAAAACACGCCTAAGCGATCAAGACGCGATGGCGTTGACGATGGCGACCGTGATTTGACTCGTCTGAAACAAACAAGTGAATCAGCACATACTGGTCGCGACCTGCTGGCGATCAAAGGAATTTGTGCAGCGTTCCGACAACAATCGCGGCGATATAATTAGTTTAGCGTTTAGAACCCAGCAGTCTACGTTTATTGCTGGTAGCATCAATGCAAATAAAAATAGATATTGAAAAACTTATTGAAATTGTAAAACATATATATTGTTCGACATGTCCCACCCAGATTACAAGAACGTACGTATTGAAAATAAAAACGTTCTGTAGTATCAATTGGTTCCCTAAAATTTGTTTCTTGTTTGGTGATTTTTTTTTCTCTGAAATTTCATCAAAACTTTCAAAATTCGTTTTAAAATATATACACAAACGATTCTTGTCTCTGTGAAGTTTACAATTTATGAAATTCTCCTTGTGAGGCTTGCGCTTCAGGTTAATGTCATGTACCCAAATATCTTTTCTTTTTCTTCGGAAATAACTGCAGAAATATCCGTCATTGGTATTACCAAACCCAGTTTTTGGTATATCCACTGACAATCCCATTGTTTCCTTAAATTCATTTTGAATTGTCTCTTGCAGATATTATTTTTTCCGTATCATTTTTTAAATTAACACGACCTAGTTTAACTTCCGCATTTACTTTATAGGACAAATGTAGAAGTAAGTCGAAAAATCTTGTTCTATCATGTAGTATTAATAATCCAAACTTGAACGTTTCTGGATCTTCACTTTCTCCTACATCTAAATTATTGAACAACTCATTCGAAGGTTCACTGCAAATATAGCAGCGCAGAGTGGATTTAGTGTCGGTAACTGCATTGCAAACCTTTTTATCCACCATTGTTTTCCGTATCATTAATCTTAATGGCACAAGAGAACTAAATAATAGGTTGTCTTCAGCGTTATCAAATTTTTGTTTGTATTGACTTTGATACGAACCATCACATGCTCATTTGAAAAGTAACACAAAATCACAAATTTCTTTCCCACAATATGTTTCTAAATATTTCCATAATCTTTTTTCTGTATGATCCACCAAATCTTGTAAATTTTACTTCACAATCCATATCATGAACAATGCGTGTTGAATAAAATTATTTTTTTGCTACTTGAAGATATTTATAGCAGAGATAAACACAATCTGTTAGCCTGATGAATTACCTTGTATTGGGACATAGATAAATTGGCTTCTAGAAATATGGCCAAAGCTTCTAGTGAATGTTTTTTTTTTAATTTGTTCTCTGACTACTGGTAGAACTTTACGAATTTTAGTCGCCCTGATTGGGGACTTTGGTGCCAAAAATTTTTATTTTTGACATATTGTCAAAAATAAAATTTTGTTTAAAAAATTCTTTTTTGTTTAGTAACAAAAAAGAAGAAGATTTATTCAATTTTGACCTCTGCCCAATGGGATAATATGCAAATTAGATGCCTTCTTAAATGACGGGACCTCTATCTAAGTTTACTTTATATTTATGTATTTGAAAATTTGGTTTTGTTTTCTGTAAAGACTTATTTTTAATTATCAAAATTATTTATTGTAGTTGTACATCGTACCTATTGAAGAGTACCTTACATAAGAATATATTTTTATAAGGTAGGTTAAAACCATGATATAAGGACACAAGGTATGGGAATACAAAAAATAGAAAAGTACGATATTTTTCTATTCCAAAAGATGAGAGAGCTCTTCTCAATAGAAGCATGCTAATCAAAACTCCCTCTTTGGTTTCTCAACTAGAAACAAGTAAAACTTTTTCACGTTTCACCTCAATTAAATTAAGTGTCAGTGCCCAAAATATATAGTACCTGTTATTACTTCTTCGTCTTCTTTGGGTGCCGTGTCCGTATTCAGACGTTGGCCGTCATCATGTTTACAATTTCCTGAAACCTTTCTCTGTCGGCTGCTGCGCGAAATAATTCTTCTACTGTGGAACCACACCATTGTCTAATATTACGCAGCCATGAAAGTTTCTTTCGACCAATCCATCTCTTTCCTTCCACTTTTCCTTGTATTATAAGGCGAAGTAACACAAGGAAAAGTGGAAGGAAAGAAATGGATTGGTCGAAAGAAACTGTTATTACTATGTATATAAAAGTCGACAGTTTTTGTGCCAATATTTCGTAAATGCCGACCGAAAAATTACAGAGTTGCCGGTTGTAAATAATAAAATAAAAATATTTTACCCGGAAATCTTATTTTAATTATTCTATTTTTAATTTTACTATTTACTATACTATTAATAATCCGCAATTTTGCGACCTATTGGTCGCTGGTCCATCGAGAGTTGTATCTATTTTTTATTTACTAAATGTAGGAAGGGGAAAATATAGTTTTTTAAATATTTGCTTTTAAATCAGTGAACCAGCCACTCATCCTTTCCCTACAGTGATAGTGCGACGAATTATCTACATTCTACATGGTGGAAGTAGTTTGTCAATTTTTTCATGGTTGCCAGCCATGACTAGCAAGTATACATTAAAATATCTTTTTAACGATAATTTTGTCGAAAATAAATAAAAGTCTTCTTTGGCCGCAAAGGATAGAAGGTACTCACTTCGGAAGTAAGAGTCGCAATTCATTAGCCGGTTACTATATATACAAACTACCACTACACAAACATAAATAAATCCCCCTTATGCTACTTAACTTACAGGGGCACCAATTCTTGATAAATACCTATTGCGTATATCGAAGTCTGAAGGTTCATGGTGGTCTGAGGAATTTGCTGTTGCTTCTGCGTCTGGATCTACCAACCTTTGAGTGTCTCCGTGTATCCTAAAACAGATATATACAAATATAATACACAAAATGCAATAAATGGTGGAATTTGTTGCTTTATAAAACGAAAGAAACTTAAATTAAGATGATTATATGGAAAATATTTTTACAAACACGGTATAACTATTTCTTCTTTTTTTTTTTCATTTTTCGTATCATTATGAGACATAGAAAGGTATGATCTCACAATATATTTTTCTTTATTTTGTCGCTCAAGTTTCAAGTTTTTTACAAGATCCATATTATATATTAAAAATATATTCAAAGTTTTTGGATATAATTAATTATTTATCTAATAATTTAGCGTACAATTTAAAAACCTTTTCAAACGATTACGAGAAAACAGTGATAATGAATACATATATTTCTTGAAATATCTATCAGTTTGATCTGCCCATTGTAACATATTACAGATATTTTCAAAAATGGACATCAAAGACATTTAAGACAAGATTTCGAAATTCTAATTTTTGAGATCCTGGCACATTATACTTGTAATAGCTATGAATAATTCCTAATACAATAAAAATTCAGTATTTAAAAAAATAAATCTAATCTCACAAGTGTTCTTTTGTTTCATAAGTACTCTTTAAAACTGTATCAATGTATATACTGACGCCAAATGATTGCAATCGTATGTCCCTTCGACAATTTTAATACAATGTTCAATTTTTATCAACATATCTTATCATACAAGTACACCAATTGACATGTTTTTTAAATCAAGAAAACAAGCATATGCCTATCAACATACGCAGATAGATATACGAGAAATTTGTTTTAGATAATCTCAACTGTGTTCTCTAGTGGACAACAAAACCAAGTAAGTAATGGTAAAATTATTTTTAGATTATTTTTATTTCTATTAATATTTCTTGTGTTATTATTAAGAGTGTTTCTTCTTCTTATTTACTTACTTTGGTTTCTGTAATATTTAATGTTCTCTAAATATTTAACGCACAGAGAGCGAATTTTATTCTTTTCTATTAACCAACCTCAATTATCTTGTGTCTTTTCATTTGTCATTTACATGTGTTATAGTAGCTGCTGTAACTCTTAAACATCCACTTGGGTCCTAGACTACTTCAAGTGTTTTTCATAAATGCTTCATGGATACACGATGTGACTTCGCATTTCTTCACTGTACGTAAAGATACTTCAATAGCTTCATTTCCTCGTTTATTGGTATTATTATCTTCAGGAAACCCGTTCTGCGTATATTTAAACACCTCGGACTCAGATGTTAATTATATTTGTGTATATTATGTTTATACATATCCGTCTCTATTCTATAAAAAATTCAAATGGTGTTACACTTTTTTTCATGAGACTCGAAGACATAGTGGAGCACATCCACGAAACAACAAAAAAACACAAAACAATTCCATTCTCTTTCAACAACATTCCAAGTAAAATTTTACAAATTTAGTTACTACAATAGATCAATATATGCATCTGATAAGAAAAATCATTTTTATTTTATTTAAAATTGTTAAAAAAAATTATCTAAAATAAAAACAATATTTTATTTAAAATAATAAAAATATTTAATGCCATTTTTATTATAAGGCGGTTGATACAAAAGTATAGAATTAAAAAAAGAACCAATCATACGGTATTTATTGGTTTCAAGAAAACATATGATAGAGTTCCTCGGGAGGTTGCTAAATAAGAAAGGAGTTCCCAGTATGTGAAGATTGTGAGGAACATGTTTGACGCAGTAACAACTAGTGTTAGAGCACGCGTGGGATAGACTGATAAATTTCATGTGAAAGTTAAATTGCATCAATCAAAAGGAATTTCGAGCGAGTGGAACAGTGGAGGCAAGCTCTCTAAGATAAAGATTTAAAAGTTAATAAATAAAAAACCGACTATTTATAATGCAGATACATGCGGTACAGCTGGAACGGGATTTAAATGAAAGAAGACGAGTAGTGTGTTGAAAATTTTACATAAAGACCAACTATGATGTATGGAACTGAATGTTGGAGAGAGAGTATAGGTTTAGATGGTTAGGACATTTCAAAGCCGTAATGATAATCACCCAAAACGAAAAATTGCTGAGTGGCAAGTACCTGGAAGCAATCAAAAAGAAAGGCTAAAGAAGACTTGATGGGAGACGCCTAGACAGGTCACCTCTAAGAAGGTGATTTATATTGGTACGACCAAAGATAGAAACTTATGGAGAAATGCAATTCTCTAAAAGACAAAGGAAATAATGATGAATGAAATAATGAAAAAAAAAAAAACATAGCATTCTAGATCGTCCTCACCAGTCATAATTGTCTAATTACTATCCCTTAAGTGGTGAAATATTCAGCAACAAAATTATATCGGACAATCTACTTCATATTTTTCAATTTTTTATCTCGAAAAGTATTATAAGTACATTTTAATGGTAATTAAATTTCACATTGAAAGTTGCTTGGGCAAATTGGAAAAACTTTTTTAATTTTTAAAAAAATATTTGTTTATTTTTTAGGTATCACAGTCGTATCAGGAATAACACAAACTTTTTTGATAACTTCAAGAGGAATATAATTTATGCAAATTGATAATAAAAATCTATATTTTTGGTGTTTTATTTCCAGCAACAAACCTTATATTCCTAAATATCTTGTTTTTTTTTAGAACTATAACTGAATATATCGATTTTAGCGAAACAGTGTAAAGTGAAAGTATATAGTGGTAACCATTTTGAAAGAGAAGTGGCACTAATATTTGGTATACTTCCTACTACCTAAGTAATTTGTTTTAGATAATCTCAACTGTGTTCTCTAGTGGACAATAAAACCAAGTAAGTAATGGTAAAATTATTTTTAGATTATTTTTAATTCTATTAATATTTCTTGTGTTATTATTAAGAGTGTTTCTCCCGTGTTCTACACTAAATAAAAACAGAATATTTTTATAAAATGAATTGGTTTAGTATAGTTTTATATAAAATTTTGTCCGAAGGCAGAAGATTGTAGCATTAATTATTGTCTTAGTGTTAAGTTCTGATATAAGCAGTTTTTTGCATATTAAATCCAAATGTGACATTATCTTAAAAAGTACAAAAAATGTTTATTAATAACAATAGACTTGGAGAGACTCTACAATAGAAGGAGAACAATAAATAATAGATAAAAAAGATAAAACAAAAATTAACATATTAACATTGACATATTTAACAAATACCATTAGATATCATAAAAATAATCGAATATATATATGCAAGGACAACAAAATAGACCCAGGCACAGATATAAGGCAGGGAGACTCTTTAAGCCCTCTACTCTTTATTATCATAATGTTTGAAATAATTTAAACCCTGAAGAGGTAAAGGTTACAAGATGGAAACTAAAGCAATTACTATCCTCTGCTATGCAGAACATGCCATATTAACAGCAGGGAATGAGGACGACTTACAAAGATTGGTCCATAAGTTCAACATAATAGCAAAGAAGCTAAAGATGGTTATTTCAGCCCAGAAAACAAAAACAATAGTCATCTCAACAGCAAAAAACCGACCAGATGTAAAATGGAAATTGACGGAACCAGCATTAAACATATTATGGAAATCAACTATTTGGATATCATACTATCTAGTTAAGAACATGTAGTAGCAAGAGGTACAAAACAATGTGGATATTGGAGGAACAAATACATTAAAATGGAAATTAAATTAAATTAAAATGGAGAATTTGGAAATCGGCTATAAGATCAATAAGGACATATACGGCAGAAACGAGATCTGGTACATCCAAAACAACTGAAAAAAGGATGCTGAAGACAACAGAGATGCGAATACTAAGAAGAATCACAGAAGACACACTGAGGGATCGAAAATCATGTGTCGAAATCAAAAGAATATGCAAGGTGGAAAAGATAGGCGAGTGTACACTGAGAGAGAATGGAGCAATCATATAAGCAGAATGCCAGGATAGGGTGGTTAAGGCAGCATGAAACAAATCGCCGTTGGGTAGAAGAAATGTGGGCCAACCACGAAAAAGATGGAGAGATATTATAACAAGGAGACACAATCTAAGACCACAAAAACAGACAGAATTGCTTCATAAGAAGATATACGAAGAAAAAGACATATTAAGAAATAAACTGGGCAAGTTACCCCCAGTCTGCGCATAAAGATGAAACGCCAATGTCAATGAGAGTGGTCTAACTATTTCTGTCCCACACGCGGCTATGATTATAAGCAAGTGCAAATGGGTAAGTGGCTACAAAAGAAAGAAGTGCGACACTCCAAAAGAAGCCAAACAAGCTTTGAGAAGGATATAGAGATCGGTATATTTGCAACATATATCCACTTCGCCTTTTACCGATGAATATAACTTTTAATACGTCTATGGAGAAAACAAAGTAAAAAACGGAGAGATTGGGAAATTAATAAACGCAAAAAGAAATAATGACAACAGCATGAAACCAGAATGTCTATAAAACGGATATAAGAAAATAATAAAAAAAATCACTAGTTATAACGAAATAAAATAACAAAAATATATGAGAAGAAATAGAAAAATATAATATAGATTTAGAACTATACACTTAAAAAACCTGCAGAATCAGTAATACTATTTACGTATATAACCAAGGAAATATGGGAATCACACGGTGTCGTATTTCAAAACGAAGAAGGGTGTACAGTTTTAGAAGTAAATCCTCAGTTACCTTTGATCAAAGATATTAGGAAAATAATACTAACATAGTATTTGAAAGCAAAAATCTCGCAGGTCATTTCCAGGTTCTCCTGATATCAGATCTCAGAACTTTGTCGATTTTTTCAGCAACTTTTTAATTGACTGGAGGAAATTATGACCAATGAAAAACTAAGGATCAGATGGTGTATTTAATGATTCAAAATGGCAACAGAATTGGAGTGCAATCTCAGAAAACTACATTTGGACATTTGAAATAGACGAGTATATACATTTAGAAATAAAAACTAAGTATAAAAGCTAGAGAATCAGCAAAAATATCAAGGTACAGCAGAATATGCC